CAGTTCTGAGAACTGAGAAGTGCGATGAAGTACATTTGATGATGTAATGATCGGAAACGTGTGTGCTTTGTCCAGCTTTGTGTAGCATCTGATTGTAGACTTGATCTGCTTGGGACAGGGTGCACCGGTACAGTAGCAATTGACTTTTTGTCATCATACAGGACAGTTCTTATTACATATATTTAACGGGTTCAGTGCACGTCGATATTTTGTATGGGGGTGTAGAAAGTACGAGTAAAGTACTGTACTGGAGGCCAGGACCAGCGATTTATTGCTTCTCACTTTCAGTTTGTTTTCTAGCTTAGACTCAAGTAGTGTTTCTTTTTCTGTGCCGATCAAGTGAGTTTCTATTAATCTCAGTAACTTCCATCTTACATTATTCATAATATTGTTTCTTGACGCTACCGCATATTTTACCTCTTTCACATTATATTACAATGCTTACTGTGGTGTGTGTGTGTGTGAGTGGGGGAGGGGGTGGGGATGGCGAAAGTAGGGGTATAAAATAAGGAGAGAGAGAAAGAGAGAGAGAGAGAGCATGTGTGTGTGCGCGCGCGCGCGCGCGCGCGCGTGTGTGTGTGTGTGTGTGTGTGAGAGAGAGTGTGTGTGTTGTGAAGGAAGGGGGTGGGGGAGGGAAAAATAGTCGACGTGAATGACCGCCGGTCAGTTCTATAAACCACGAGCCGCCACTGTTTATTACATGTAGTAGTGCAGCTATAAGATCACCAGGTGGCCACGAGACTACGGATGCGGGGACTCCTGTGTGCCCCTTTCAACTGGAATGACCGTTAGTTAAGATTTACATCCCTTGCAACACGATGAGGTTATTTGAGAGACGCCATCTCAAATTTCAAACTCAGTCTGCCATAGAACATTGACTTCATGTGAGCCAGGTATCAAAGCCCATTGAACCTCTGGAAAAAAATTGGGGTTTTTTTTTTGGGGGGGGGTTTCATATTGTCTCCTGTGGGATTTGAGCCAAGGTGGAACTTCTGCTCTGCATGCGAGTGACTTGGTCATGAAATTAGACTAGATTATGGAGATTTAGAACTTAATATGGAGATACGACATTTGTACTTTGAGGCATTTAGTTCAATTTTTCAGAAAACTGGGTTTTCTAAAAAAACAAAAACTGTTTTTCAATTCTACAGGAAAACAGCAAACTGTGAAAACTTTAAAAGTTGAAACATTAATTATACACACAAACAATGGGTAACAGTTAGATGAATGAGTTGGTGATTGATTTGAATCTGGAGCCATCTCAAACTTAAAAGGCTTATTTCTCAAAACCGGAGTGCGTGGACTTACGACAGTTGTACCCTGGGCCGACGATATATTATATTTATTTTTTGCATTGAAAATGGGTACATCATAGCAAATTTCATATATATATATATATATATGAAATTTGCTATGATGTATATATATATATATATATATATATATATATATATAAAAGATTTTCGTGTTCCGCGAATTTCACAGTGTGCGTGTTAGACTGTATTTGTGTCGGGCGCTTGTCAATTTTTGGGCATGTTGTGGAGTTATTAATATCATCTGAAAGCTGATTTATTTGCCTTGTTTCCAATTAAATAAATATTGATTTATCTTGAAAAGGATTCAAAATATTTGTGATTGAAGAAAAGGAGGTCGCCTGGTTATTACCTGTTATATTACCTGTCCTGGGCAACAACGTCATTGCTCACTGGACATGTCCATAAGTGCTCAGTTCCCCCCCAGCACCAAAGCCCGCAAGGTTTCCATACTGATTGTTCCGGTGGCTGTCTGATTATGGCGAAGTCTTTCCTTTCGCCTGGTTTCATTAGTGGAATTAGCAAGAAAATGGCCGCCAAAGTATGGTTACTCCAATACATAAAAGAGTCTTTGAAAATTGAAAAATGACGTACTTTGTGCTTTTATTCAATGTTTTTCTGGAAAATTCACGAGAAAATGTGTTTTTATATGGACCTATAAGAGGTTAAGGAAAAAAATAAAACTTTAATAAAAAATGTCTAGACTGGCGGAAAAATGGCTGTTTCTTCAATTTCGTTATTTTGACGAGCACCTGATTTCACCACGATGCCTCACATTTAGTTTTTGTATCCAAGATGTTTTTCTTTAATTTTGCATGATTTTTCTGTCATCTCCTGAGGCGAGGTCCTTGGCTCGATCCTCCCTCATTCTGAAATAAAACAACACACTGAGAGTGGGCTGGATACTTTGCCTTTGAAAGTGAAGTGACAGGACTTGTCGTAACAAAAACTGAATCTCTTTATTTAAAAAAAAAAAAGAGTTTCTTCCTCATTTTGAATCCTCATTTCGAAGCTTTGCAGTTGTTTTCACTTTTGTTGAGTTTGAAGCTGATCTCTTTTTTTATCTTTAGGGAATGGGACAAGAAACCGGAGTACAAGTGTGAGAATGTACAGATGGCTGGACTTTACCATACTTGCTTTGATAAAAAGTACAAACCAACACCTCCGTGCTTGGTGTACTCCTTTGGGTAAGTGTTCAGGGACATGCCAGAGAAGTATTAGATGAGATTTGAATGACTTTTCAGGGGTCAATCAAGCTACAGTGGGATCTATTAAAGTTAACACTTTTCGGTCGCTTGGCGCTATACTATAATGCGCCAGTGAAAATTATCAGTTTCGGTCACCTGGCGCATTTCTTCGCCGGGCCCAAGAAGTCGGTTGCAGTCACTCTCCTGGCTGAGTGACCAGATGGGGTATTTTGTACTGTTGTCTGTGTGACTCCAAAGTGTTAAAGGGAACTGGAATACTTTAGGTTATCATTGTTGACACTGAATCTCATTAAGCATTCACGGGGCTGCCTAAATCTACCGATTTTTCTGGTTGTTACCGATCTTTAACCTGTTCTACCGCCATACCGATAAAGGTGTCAAAACTGTCGAATTTGCGGTGGGGTCTGTTCTATAGTGCTTCCGATCTTCCTTGTTCTTATGGAAACCCATACATTCGGAAAGCTCGGTATGCCGTATCATTTTTCAACAGCATACATTTAAGAAGAAAGAGAAAAAGGGATAAAGAGATAGTATATATGTATTGGCTTATCGGTCATCAGTGCCTTTCACCCCTGGCAGGGTATAGGCCACATACAAGCTCGTTCCATTTATCTCTGTCCTTGGCCTTCCTTCCTTACTCGTTCCAAGTGAGCTTCAGCTCTCTCATGTCCCTTTCCATACCTCTCCTCCATGTTTCCCGTGGCCTACCCCTGCCTCGTGCTCCCTGTGGGTTCCATTGCTTAGGCTTATCGGTATTCCATAGCAAAGAATCCAAACTTACCTCCCTAACTTCTGTGATATTTACGTCAATTCTCGGCCATATGTTGTATTAGAAACTTTCCAGATTGCGCATTTTGTCATTTTTCACACTTGACCATTGTCCCTCTGTGACTCTATGGTGGGTCGGTGGCAATCTAAAATCTGTCTAGTTACGACAGCTTAATATCTTCCTCCTCTCTTTCATTCACTCATTCTTTCTGTCTATTTTCGGGATTTTGCGGGGGGCTAGAAAATCTGTGCGTTGATCAAGGAATCTGAATGGCAAATGTTGAAAGAAAATCAGTATCTGATAAAAACTTTTTCAAATATTTCTAGATCTAAAGAATTAATCAGTATGAGGATTCTACCGCAGCAATATAAGGTTGCGGTGCAAGAAACTGATTCTCAAATAAAAGATAGAAGTGGTGGTAATTAGGTTGTAACATAATGCAATCAAATGCGTGAATGGAGGAAAATTAGAGCACAGACTTGGTTTGTCTTCAAGATTGATGTTCCCAGATTTGTGTCAATGGTTCAAGGGCAAATTCAATGGAGGCAATGGAAAATGCCATTTTCAACCCTCGAAAAGCTCAAAATTTCCATTTCTTCCCCTAACTTTTGCTCTGCCTTGAGCCCAACTATAATGGTTTTCCTTTGATAATTTGTGTCTTGCATGCTTTTTAAAATCAGTGAATACTAAAACCCAGACATGGTTTTGACAGTTAATGTTCTAGCCTTTTCACAAGCCCAGATCAGGATTCATTTTTTTATTGTCAAAGGAAAACTAGTAAAATCTGACTGTCATACCAAAGTCACACAGGACGTATCAGTGCCCTTAGATATGTATGCATTTGTCCGAAAATATGTTTTAATTTAGTTTTTACTTGTTCGGGCTATGGGTTTTGAAGTCAGTTTGGCAGTCACCCTGCACTCAAATCCTTATTCAATAGGCCTACTGAATGATAGATACCTTGAATGACAGTCCATAAATGCTTTAAAAAACACATCTCATCTCATCAACACTGTTCATCTCCATTTATGCTGGACTGCCCGCCACTACGAATTTGACGGAATTGTCATGATTTTTTCTCAGTTTTCCGAAAATACGATTGTCTCACCCTTGATTCCAATTTTTCAAAATTTGTGATGTGCCATTTGGCTACCCTAACCCAAGTCCCATCCTCTGGGAATATAAGTATAAGGAAGAAAAGACAATCCTTTCCGGACACTTTACGTCAATACAACACATTCTCTGGGCACAGAGCCTTTTCAGAAGCTCAATGTCATTTTGCCCCTTGGAAAAGCATAACTGTGCCTATGCCTGGATGATCTTAAGCATAGCGAACTGTAGTTGCTTTAGTCATAAGGCAAACGGCAAACATCAGCTTGACAAGTAGTTAAAAATTTCTTGCTTCTGCGTAGTGGAAGACGACCCAGGCCAGTGAGAAGATGTAAAAAACAAACAAGTGATCGTTGTTTGAAATTTGAACTTACATTGCATTCACTGCGATGCGCGGCAGAACGAAGTGAAACTGCTGTGTTACACAATCAGGATCAAGAGCTTATGACATGTTCTGTTATTCTGTCTGTTTCTTTTGGTTTTTTTATTTTACTAAATTCAGACTCACAGCCAATAACTACCCCTTTCTAACAACCCCCCCCCCCCTTTTTGCCCACCTAATGGCTCGTACACACCAAACATCCGCGTTCATACGGTATCGTGAGTGAGATGCACAGAAGAATTTATTTCTTATCAGGGCCCTTTCTGTGTTCCCACCAACTGTTCGTGTTCATGCGGTAGTGATAGTTGTCGTTCGTGCAAGTGGTGAGTTTTATTGCAGCCATAAAATTTCATCCGTTTGCTCTCATGTTGTGACCGACCCTCCCCCACAGGAGGAAGACGGACCTGCTCTTCTTCAAGAGCATGATCCCCCAAGATAAGACATTAGATGTCTTACAAAAGATGGAGCTGCAAGCTAAAATGCACAGTGTTCTATTCAAACTCTTGAAAAGGGCACATGCTACTACAGCAGAGCCCACAACTGGTGCAACAGGAGAGGAAAAAATGTGTCAAGACCAATATCAATATCAATAATCTGTATATTATATTTATCTATCTTTCAAATGTCTTTCGCTTGTCTGTTATTGGTATTCTTATTTTCAATGTCGGGTGTCAGCAAACTCAAGAGGCTGTCAAATGTATCTGGTCTCATTCGAATGTATCCAATACATTTGTCTTCATGTGACAAAATTTTGGGTAGCAGATGGTGATATTCACCATTTAGCCTAATTGTCTATTTACCAAAATTGGGGGGATCCAGTGCCTCCTATTCCTCCTCTTATTTCTTTCTTTTAACAGTAAAATCTTCAGTTTAGTCTTAGCATCCATGTTGATATAAAACACTCACGAATAGACAGATGATAGATCTAGGTGTGAATGGGCACATGTTCGAGCTCTAGACGGATGCACACTACCACACGATCGCGGATGTTTGGTGTGTAAGAGCCGTAACTCGGCAAAGATGAGCCTGCTGAGACTTCTATCATCACACATTTGTTTACATCACATCCATCCTTTCATCTACAAAACTCCTGTCCTTCTTGACACTCCAAACTCTAAAGGAAAAGGCTGTCCATGGCCATATTACGAAGTTTTCATAGAGATAACTATTTTTTAAAAGTTTGCTGATTACTAAAACGTATGGTGGTGAGTGGGCAGCCGTGGTTATGCACACCCAAACACTCCTCCTCCCCCCCCAAAAAAACACACACGCGTAAACACACACTCACACACAAACACTCATTCACGTTTTAAAAACATAAAATTACCTAATAATATCATGAACAGCAAACCCCACTCGATGGTAACTATGTTTACCGGGGTGACGTTTGTCTTTTTTTTTCTTCTTTGTCTTTCTCATGGGTCTCAATAGTCCGCTATTTAGCAGATTTCCGCTACCGCCATTTCCTCCGCTAGACTCCGCTACCGCGACAGCGGGCCAATCAGAAAGAGAGTTGTTGGGAGCAGGGTGACTGCCTGGCCCCAGGAATTAAAAAAAAAGTCGCCGAGACCCGGGAAAATACATAAAGATCTCGAATATTTGAAAAACCAAATCCAATAACGTCTTTAAGTTCATTTCTGCCGGTCGCGATTGTGATATTGATTCGCCACATCCTACACCCTCATTGCTTCAACCTCCATCCCATCATTCTTCATCCAATAAAGCCCCTCCACCCACTCCCCGCACCCGCTCCCCCTCCTCTACCCGCATCCAGGACTCCGGTCCTCCTCCCCCTCCACACTCTCCCTCAAAAAAGGCTGCGGTCCACCGTGACCGCAGCAAAACAAAACAAAGACAAAGGTCACCAACGACCAAAAAAAAAATGTATCGAACCCGTGCCTTCAAAATAAATTAAAATGGCAGTTCTTCAGTGGAACATTCGCGGTTTGCGTGCAAACCAGGCAGAACTCTCTTATCTTTTGACTTCACACACCCCAAATGTAATCTGTCTACAAGAAACTAAATTGCCAACACCCACATTCACATTAAAAAAACTATCAAACTTACAACCAAATATACACCGACAACCAAATCGCCTCTGGGGGCAACTCCATTTTAATAAATAACCAAACACTACACAGACAAATACAACTAAACACAACATTTCAAGCAGTTGCGGTCAGGGTCACCCTACACCGTCCTATAACTATCTGTTCAATATACATCCCTCCAAATTATCCTCTATCTTTAAGAGAACTAATAAACCTCAGAGACCAGCTTCCACAACCCTTCATCATGTTGGGAGATTTTAATGCCCATAGCCCTCTTTGGGGAAATGAACCAACTGATACTAAAGGTAAAATCATAGAAGATTTCTTAATAAAAACCAATACTAGTATTTTTAACGACAATTCCCCAACATTTCAAAATTCAAATAACCTAAACTTTTCATCCATAGATTTAACCCTTTGTGATCCTGACCTAATTCCAGACTTTCAGTGGTCGGTCCTGGACAACCCACACGGATCGGACCACTTCCCCATCACCCTAATTCCAGACATTCCACACCGAACTCCTATCCCAGACCGTTTCAATCTTAAAAGAGCGGACTGGGATGGGTTTCACGTGGAATGTCTGGAGAAACTCAATCCATCTCAAACACAAACACAAACTTTTGAACGATTTCATGAAACCCTTCTCGAGATCGTTCAAAAACAC